AAGGCTAGCGTTGTACCACTTGAGCCACAGCACCACTTCCGGCTTTTTTTCTTTTTTGTTAATGTGGTGCTGAGGAATCGAACCCAGGGCCTCATGCATGCAAGGCAAGCACTCTACCACTGAGGCACTTTCCCAGCCCCTCATCTTTGTGGGGGGCTGTGAGGTATATGTAGTACATCGTGGCAGAAGAAACAGTGTGTGACAGTCTGTTTACCTAATGGCAAATAAGAAACAGAAAAAAAGATAGAGACATTGTACATCTTCCCCCCCAGAACATGTGCCCAATGACCTACCTACCTACCATCTACTCAAGTTTGCAGAACCTCCTAAACTAGCCTTACTAGGTTGGGACTGGGTATTCAGCACAGTAGCCTTCTCTTTATTTTTCTTCAGTAGAGGCCTGTCATTTCTATTTCATTTTTTCCCCTTTATCTTGACTTTTTTCTGGCTAATAAGATGATACTTGCAGAAAGGTGGTTAGGAGGTGGCTATACTTTAAGAAGAAATTATATAGCTCTTAGGATGCTGAGATCTAAAGATTGAAGTTCAAAGCCAGCCCTGGCAGGAAAGTCTATGAGATGCTTATCCTCTAGTTAACCACCACTGGCTGTGGCTTAAGTGCTAGCCTAGAGCAAAAAAATTGCTCAGGGATAGTACCTAGCCCTGAGTTCCAGCCCTAGGATCCATTCCCCCTCCCCCCCAAATAAAAAAGCCTAAATTCTTAACTTGTCCACAATAAAATGTTCATGCTAAAGAAGGAATCAAAGCCAAGTCCAACCTGTGGGCAATGTTTCTAGATGTTTGGGTTTCTACTATACTCTTACTATTACATTTATTCATACAACAAATTTCAGTTGAGAAATTCTTATGCTGAGACTCCCATAGAACAAGTCATTCTTCTAGAGAGGCTACCCCAGCACTAAACCAAATCTTTGCCTAACTTGTATATGTGATGAAATTTGTTGTTGTTGTTGGTCGTGGGGCTTGAACTCTGGGCCTGAGCACTGCTGTCCCTCAGCTCTTCAGCTCAAGGTGAGCACTCTACTACTAGAGCTACAGCACCACTTTCAGTTTTCTGGTCGTTTGTTGGAAATGAGTTTCATGGACTTTCCTGTCCGGGCTGGCTTTGAACTGAGATCCTCAGATCTCAGCCTCCTGAGTAGCTAGGATTACAGGCATGAGCCACTGTCTCCCAGCATGATGAAATTTTTAACTCATGATACCAGACTTGATCCATTTAGACTGAAAGCATTCTAGCTATTCGTTTATGCTTGCCTCACATCTGAATATTCTAGAGGCTATAGAGGAAAAGGTTCTATCACTAGAAAATAGTTACTAATAACTCTCTAGTTACTAGTACAAAGCCCTGGGTTTAATCTCAAGCACATTCCCCAGTGTAAAAAGTAAATAGTAATTGGAGGCCAGGCACTGGTGGCTTATGCCTATAATCCTAGCTTCTCAGGAGGCTGAGACATAAGGATTCCAATTGGTTCAAAGCCAGCCCAGCCAGGAAAGTCCATGCGACTCCTATCTCCAATTAACCACCAGAAAACTGGAAGTGGCGCTGTGGCTCAAGTGGTAGACCGTTAGTCTTGAGCTGAAGAGCTAAGGGACAGTGCCCAGGCCCAGAATTCAATTCCACGACCGATATTAAAAAAAAAAAAAAAAAAAAAAAGGTAATTGGAATATGTTAGAGAGGGAAGAGGAAAACTAGCTACAGGTTGGGAAAAACAAAGAAGCTGTTGGAGAACTTACATGAGAATATAATCTAGAGAAGCTAGCCTCTGACTTCAGAAATTCCTGGAGAATATATTGCATCAGGGAGAATTGTCATTTGTCTATGTTTGACTCTATTTTAGCTACTACAGAAGAAGGGAAGAAGGAGCTGCTGTTTCTAAGTAATGCCAATCCTGGACAGCTGGAACGGCTCTGTGCCTATCTCTAAACCATGGGCTCAACAAGCATGGAAAACAATGGACTTCTCTTTCAAGCTGGACCCAGTCATGTGGGGAAGTTCCACTGTACCCATCTTCTGTAATTGCGGAATTATACAGGGTTGCAGTTGGCTTTGGGACTTTGGGGATCTGAAAGAGGTTCCTTGTGAAGTGACTTACACAATAGAATATCCTCTTGTTCCTAGACTACTATTAGTTTTTTGATACTGTTTCCATATCTAAGATAATCATGAATCTTTTCCTTAAAAAATAAAGACCCTTCCTTAAGATATTGTGTTGTATTTCTAATAAGGAAAGCCTCTTCAAATTGGCCAAAATGAATTTCTCTGTCCTGTTTGTTTTGGGTCTGAAGAGACCTGATATATAGTAGCTCTACCTTTTAAACTTTAGTGAGTTCATATCAAAATTTCATAGCCTAACCATCACTTCTAAACACTTCTGGCCTTTAACTCTTGGTGTGTTATCGTGTATCCTGGGGCATGTATTGAAATTCCTAACTGTGAGTTTCTTGCAGCTTTGGATAGTAGAACCCTTCCCTACAGGTTCCTAAAAAAATGAAGCACTAAACTCCTACAGCATACACTATATATGATGAGTAAAGTTTAATGCACAGAGTTGTGTTATCTGTGTACTGTCCTTATGAGTCCTAAGAAATAGTGACTTACCCTTCACTGTCATCCTCTCACTGGTGGCTCACACCTAAAATGCTATCGGCTCAGGTGGCTAAGATCCAGATTTTTTTTTTTTGTCGGTCATGGGGCTTGTTTTTTTGTTTGTTTGTTTGTTTGTTTGTTTTAGGTCCGGTTGTGGGGCCTGAACTCTGGGCCTGGGCACTGTCCCTCAGCTCTTCAGCTCAAGGCTAGCGCTCTACCACTTGAGCCACAGCACCATTTCCGGCTTTTTTCTTTTTTCTTATGTGGTGCTGAGGAATCGAACCCAGGGTCTCATGCATGCAAGGCAAACGCTCTACCACTGAGCCACCTTCCCAGCCCGGTCATGGGGCTTCAACTGTGGGCTTGGGCGCTGTCCCTCAGCTCTTCAGCTCAAGGCGAGCCCTCTACCGCTTGAGCCACGGTGCCACTTTCAGTTTTCTAGTGGTTTATTGGAGATAAGAGTCTCACAGATTTGAATCGCGATCATCAGATCTCAGCTTCCTGAGTAGGTAGGATTATGTGTGAGCCACCAGCGCTCGGCTCAGAAGAGCTCATTTTGAAGCCACCCCTAGCAGAAGTCTAAAAGATTCCATCTCCAAAATTATCAGCCAAAGGTTGGGCAGGGGACCACTCAAGTTGTAGAGCACTAGCCAAGCAAACAAGTTGAGCAAGCATGAATCCCTGAGTTCGAATACTGATACTGGCAAAAAAAAAAATGATTTCTGGGTCTCCCTCCTGTTAGATGTCAGTTTGGGGATCTCCTAACCTGTTTCCTCTTGATTTCACCTGGTCTCCTATTTTACCTTTTGGAATAGTGATAATGACACTAGACTTGTAGGAGTTTCTTTAGGTAAAAGACTTAACTACATAGAATACCCCATTAGTGATAAGTAGCAAGTGTTCGAAGTAAAGCATTCTATAATGCTTTATTTGAAGAATTATCTATTAGATATTTAACGCTTTGATGCATTCCTGTCACCGTGATTAACTTTGCACTGTATAATTTTAACAAAAATAACCTGCACTTAGCATCAGACACAAAGACAGCAGCCTTATAGAGATCATTTAACCAGCCTCCACAACTTTAATGCTATCCCTTTGTGTATATCCATGTCTACAATGTTGTTGATCAAATCCAGGTCCCTGTATACACTAAGCAAGCATTCTTCACTGAGCTACATGCCCAACCCATATCTCTCTCTTTTTAGTAGTTCTCTAATAAATCTATTTTACTATAGAACCCTAATTGATTTATCTCCAACATAGCTCATTAATCCTTTGAATTTACTTAAGCCTCATCATCCTCACTACCACTTTATACTTCCATCACTCATGAGGTACTGTAATTATTTGTTAATTTGTGTCTAACACTCTTGTCTCTCTTCAGGCCATCTATCACAAGCTACCTCAATGAGAAAGTTAATAACATTCATTAGCTCCATATGCCTTTAACTTATTTACTTATTTTATTTTATTTTATTTTTTTGTGCCAGTCCTAAAGCAGAAGCTCACGGTGCTATCCATGAGCTTTTGCTCAAGGCTAGCGCTGTACCCTTGAACCACAGATCACTTCTGGCTTTTTTGGTGGTTAACTGGACTTAAGAGTCTCATGGAGCTGGGCGCTAGTGGCTAACGCCTGTAATTCCAGCAACTCAGGAGGCTGAGATCTGAGGATCGCGTTAGGTTCAAAGCCAGCCTGGAGAAGGAAAGCCCGTGAGACTCTTAACTCCAATAAGCTACTCAGAAAAAGCCAGAAGTGGCTCTGTGGCCCAAGTGGTAGAGTGCTAACCTTGAGAACAACGAAGCTCAGGGACAGTGACCAAGGCAGAGCTCAAGCCCTAGGACGGGGGAAGGGGGGTGGGGGATTAGGGGGAGGAAGAGAAACAATGAAAAAGAACTACAGGTATATGCAAGAGTGGGGGTGCACTTCACAAATAACAGTAAAAGGATATTCTGATTCATTTACATAACACAAATTAGGCAGGCAGTATGGAAAGCAGTTTTGAAGGAGGGGGAGGGAAGGAATGGAAGGGGTTTATCGATGCATCTAGTTCTAGCAAGGTTTTAATTGTCTGCGATGTTACTAGCACAGATAACTGCTTGACAAAAGGGACCAGAACCTGAGCAATAGAAGCGCAACGCCACAAACCACGGTAAGACAGCTCTGGCGTAACTTCCGCATATAACAACTTCCGGCGCTCCGCCTCTTGCCTGCAACAACCGGAAAGCAGGAGTGGTCCGCGTCAAGGAAGAGGGAGGGCGTGAGGGGGAGCTGTGTACAGAACTTAACTAATCGTTTGTCCAATGGGAAAGGATGTGTTTGTGGACCAATAGGACGTAGAGAATAGGGCACCGCCCACAAGCCCGTCGAGCCAATGGGCTGTGTGCAGATGGTAGATGGGCAGGGGCGTGCGACTGAGAGTTGCATCGCGGTATGGCGGGTGGGGCCCGGGAGGTGCTCACGCTGCAGTTGGGTCATTTTGCGGGTTTCGTGGGAACGCACTGGTGGAACCAACAGGTGAGATCTCCTGGTGCCTTTCCAACTGAATCCTTTGGAAATCTACAGCGTTGACTCCGCCCCGCGTATCCTTCTTGCCTCCCGAGTTTAGTCCTCTCTATATCTGCTCCAGGATGCTGCCTTGGGCCGAAACACCGATGCCAAAGAGTCGGCCGGAGAGCTGTGCCCTGATGTCCTGTACCGGACGGGCCGGACGCTTCACGGCCAGGAAACGTACACGCCGAGACTCATCCTCATGGATCTGAAGGGTGAGACGGTGGCAGGGGCCAGCCAGTCTGTTTTTCCTTTTTTCGCGTGCGGAGTCTAGCATCCATTCACTTAAAGAACCGATAAGGACACTGAAGACCCAGAGATGAGGCGCTAAATCACCAGAGGGGCACAGCAAAGAAAAACTTTACCCTGCTCAAACTGGTCTCCGAAACAGTTCGTTTGCTCCTGGACAAAGTGAGGTGTTGAACTGACACACTCGTGGAAAACCACTGGGTGCAATTTTTGCCCCACTAGTTACGAAGTTGAGAACAGAGGCTAGAATCTAGATTTGGCTCCTAAACCAGGCCCAAGAAAGCTTGAAAGAGTCAGGCATGAGACACCAAGTTGTCTGATGATCAGATTTAGTCCAAGTCACAGAGATGTCTTAGGCTTTGACCTTAGCATTATTGTTTCTATATAGGTAGTCTTAACTCCCTAAGAGAAGAAGGTGGACTGTACAGGGACAAACAACTTGATGCTGCTATAGCATGGTATGTATTTGGTGTATGGAATAGAGGGGGGAACGTTTGTGAAAACAGCTGGGGAAACCCTAGAAACAAGTTCTTTGATCAATCTTTTTCAGGCAGGGGAAGCTCACCACCCACAAAGAAGAAGTCTATCCCAAGAACCCTTATCTCCAGGACCTTCTGAGTGCAGAGGTGAGGGCTTCAGCTTTAACCTTTTAACCTCATGCTACAAGTGCCCTCACCAATGCAGAGAAAAAGACAGTTCTTTTCGTGGCTCAGCCAGGTGCCAGTGGCCTTGCCTGTAATCCTAGCTACTCAGGAGGCTGAGATCTGAGGATCACGGTTCAAAGCCAGCTGGGGCAGGAGTCTGTGAGACTCCTATCTCCAATAAACCACCACAAAACCGGAAGTGGCACTGTGGCTCAAGGAGTAGAACCCTTGCCTTGAGCTGAAGAGCTGAGGGACAGTGCCCAGGCCCAGAGTTCAAGCCCCACGACCGACAAAAAAAAAAAAAATTGTGATGACTTAATCAGAAAAGAGGTGAAATGCATCCTGCAAACTGGGGGATAAAGGATAAATGACCTTTGCCCTTAAACTGCCTAGAACTAAATGTAGGTGTTTTTTTTTTCTCTCTCTCTCTCAACTATTCCAGGGAGTGCCCAGTAGTGATGGTGTCTGGAAGGTCAAGTCCATCCCTAATGGCAAAGGTGAGAGTTCGCCGGATATAGGAAGTCTGGGCAGTACAATGGGGCCTCTGAGCAGAGAAGCATGGAGAGTTGTGTGTCTCTTCTGTTTGTTCTTCAGGTCCACCTCCAGTCAGCACTGCTACAGCTCCAAAATCATTTATACCACCAGAGGGCACCATCAGAGTCTGGTCAGACTTTCTGAGAGTTGACCTCCATCCTCGGAGCATCTGTATGATTCACAAATACAACCATGATGGGTATGAGGGCCTCGAGAAGCTGTGACACAAATAGCATATGTCCCCACCAACACACTGGATTAGGCTCAAGCCTATCTTCCCTGACAAACAAACCAAATGTTGAGGACAGGGCTAAGTCTTTCATCACTTATTCGTGGCAGGGAAGCAGGTCGGCTGGAGGCTTTTGGCCAAGGGGAGAGTATCCTGAAGGAACCCAGGTACCTGGAAGAACTGGAGGACAGGCTGCACTTCTACGTAGAGGAATGTGACTATTTGCAGGTAGTGTGTGGCAAGGCAGACAAGCAGGATAGATATTTATTATCCTACACTTATTTTCATCCTTCATCTTTCTCTAGGGCTTTCAGATCCTATGTGACCTACATGATGGCTTCTCTGGAGTAGGTGCTAAGACTGCAGAGTTGCTACGAGACGAGTATTCAGGGCGGGGAATAATTACTTGGGGTCTTCTCCCTGGGCCTTACAATCTCAGGGTGAGTGGAAGTTGGGGTAAAGAAAAATCAGAGTAGGGAAGGAGAAAGGAGAATCCCACTGACAATGTTGTTTGATACAAACTCCTTTTCTTTTACCAGGAGCCCCAGAAAAACATCTATCGTCTGTTAAACACAGCCTTTGGTCTGGTGCGCCTGACTGCTTACTGCTCTTTCGTCTGCCCTTTATCCTTGGGCGGAAACATGGGCCTGAGACCCAAGCCACCTGTCAGCTTCCCTTACCTGCGTTATAATGTGAGGCTCAATGCTTTTTATTTTTTTGGGTCCGGTCGTGGGGCCTGAACCACTTCCGGCTTTTTTCTTTTTGCTTATGTGGTGCTGAGGAATCGAACCCAGGGCCTCGGGCATGCAAGGCAAGCGCTCTACCGCTGTGCCACCTTCCCAGCCCCATCAATGCTTTTTTTATGATTGTGGCTGGCCACAGACTCAAATCATCTTCTCTCTGCAGTGGCTCTATTTTATTTTTTGTGGTAAGCTGACAGAACAGGTTTATTTAGAAGTGGAAGTTGCAAGATTCTTTCTTTGGAGAGGGGCTTCTAAGAGGAGTCCTATGGTTCTGTTCTTGAAGCATTAGCTTAAATATGGCTCTTAGATCACACTGGCTGATACTAGTCCAGCTGTGGGCCCAATACACGTTTGCTTCATGCCCTGGATTTCTCTGCCATTACTGTTGTCTCCACACACTTTTCCAGGCCCCAAATACCACGTGTTTCTCTTCTGTCCATTTTACAGGCCACTCTACCCTTCCACTGTAGTGCCATCTTGGCTACAGCCCTAGACACAGTCACTGTTCCCTATCGCCTGCGTTCCTCTCCAGTTTCCATGGTTCATCTGGCTGATATGCTCAGCTTCTCTGGGAAAAAGGTACAAATCTTTGTGAGGAGCTGGGTCGGCACTGAGAAAAAGCTCTGTAACCTGATCTCCTCCTGATCTTTAGGTGGTGACAGCAGAAGCAATCATCCCCTTCCCCTTGGTTCCAGGCAAGTCCCTTCCTGATACTCTGATGCAGCTTGGAGAAGCCAGTCCGTGGACCTCACTGTCTGCATGTGGGGACCCTTCTGGAACACGCTGCTTTGCCCAATCAGTGGTGCTGAGGGGCATAGACAGAGCGAGCCACACCAGGTAAGGACCGTTGGCCTTCAGAGCCTGTGTTAGAACATTAAGTCTTAGTTCTTATTCATGTTGCCATAGTAAGGGTGATTTTGGCTTTCTCCTGGCAGTCAGCTTGTCTCAGGGACACCTCTGCCCTCTGCCCTTCATGCATGTACCACTGGGGAAGAAGTCTTGGCTCAGTATTTACAACAGCAACAGCCTAGAGTCATCAGGTCAGTAGAAACACTTGCTCCTGCCCTTCTCTCAGCCCTCCGACCCCCCACCTCGCCTGGGCTAACCTAACTACCACCCTCTGCCCACACAGTTCATCCCATTTGCTGCTGACTCCCTGCAGAGTGGCTCCGCCTTACCCCCACCTCTTTTCTTCAAGCTTCAGCCAGCAGGGCGCAATGTTAGAAGGTCCCCCCAGGGGCACAGGTAGGTAAGAAGTGAGGAAAACATAAGATTTCAAGCAAAGGTACAGTTCCTGGATTAAAATTGGAAAAAAAAAAAACAAAAAACCACACAGTTAAACCTTTATTCACCCTTTGGCTCCTGAGAAGTGTCCTTCCTATGGAGTGCTGGTATACAAAGGGGACAGCACACAAATCTCTCAAGTGTACCTTACAGTCTGCTCTACCAAGCACCCAGATTCCCTATCAATACAAGAGGCTCAAGGCAGAATCCAATCCATTCAGTCTTGCTTTTCTCTCGGTATGTAGAAGTGAAGAACATCCCAGTGTTTGGGGCCCTGCGCTCTTCTGCATCCTTGTACCAGACCCTGGGAGGCTTAGCAGACGAGCTCTCCAAACTCGACCTGCGGCGCTGGGCTAGCTTCATGGACGCTGGAGTAGAACACGATGACATGGAGGAACTGTTGCAGGAGCTCCGCAGCCTGGCCCACTGCTACCAGGAAGGAGACAGCTCCCCAGACTAAAGTTCCAGGAGTTCCTTTGCAATAAAAAGCTGCTGGGTGCATGAGCCCAGTGTTTTCCTGCACAGGAGCTCAGTGTCTTAGAACTGGCTACAGACATTAGAAATTTATTACATTTAGAAACATTGTGAGTTGATCACAAAACAATAAATATGTACCATTAGACCCAAAAACAAAAGGAGAGAAAGGATCCAGGCCTCGCTCCCTGAATGCTATTTATAGAGTGGATTTTGAAGGTCTTCTTCAAAGACCCTGAGTGAGGCATAGGCGAAAGAGCTCTGGGGCCTAGATCTAGCCTCACTTTATCCTTGGGCCCAGCTCTGCTCTTCAGCTCTGTATGCAGAACTCAAGGACTGCACAAGTGAAGTACAGCCACTCTCTCCCAGAGCACACGGTGCCTGGCATGTTGGTCCTATGCAAATGACACCACACCTTCCGGGAGCCTCAATCATCTGGCTCCTCCTCAGACAGCAAGTCCCCATGGTCTGACAGCTGGTCTGCATTGCTGGTACTGGTTGCATCATCTTCATCCTCAGAGCTGGCCTCACAGGCCGTGTGGAAGAGCTGCATGAGTTCTCGAAAGCGGTGAGAAACCTAGCATAGCAGAAGGGCTATAATCACTGTTCCAAATCAGGAACATCAACATTTACTAAGTGATAGGTGCCAATCTGAAATTCTTTTATTGATTCCACATTTGTGAGAGTTGTGTGTTAATAAAGAAATTCCAGAACTGGGAATGTGGCTTAGTGGTAGAGTGCTTGCCTAGCATGCATGAAGCACTGGGTTCAATTCCTCAGTACCACATAAACAGAAAAAGCCAGAAGTGGTGCTGTGGCTCAAGTGGTAAAGTGCTAGCCTTGAGCAAAAGAAGCTCAGGGACAGTGCCTAGGCCCTGAGTTCAAGCCCCAGGACTGGCAAAAAAAAAAAACCCACAAAATTCCAGAGGCCCAAAGTTACACTGCTAAAAGCAAAAATAGAATTGAAACTTGGAGCTGCTGCTACTACTGTTCTTTCTTAGACCTCTCCTCTACCATACTGACAGGTCAAGCCCTTCCTTTATGTAACTGGTGTCTTGAGTTTGTAGAAGCCTATGTGTATGTGTGTGTACAATAGTCTTGGGTCTTGAACTCAGGGCCTCAGCACTGTCCCTGAGCTTTTTTTTTTGCTCAAAGCTAGCACTCCAACACTTGAGCCACAGCTCCACTTCTAGCATTTTGGTGGTTAATTGGAAGAGTCTCACGGACTTTCCTGCCTGGGCTGGATTCAAACCTCAATCCTCAGATTTCTACGTCGTCAGTAGCTAGGATTACAGGTATGAGCCGCCGGCACCCAGCCTTATGTCTGCTACTTAGTCAGCCACTCTGTTCTCTTCTTGCCAGATTGCCCTTGTTCCTCTGAAGCTTGAGACTTACAAGACTGCCCCACTTCACACATTGCTTCCCTCCACTTACCTCAGCAGGAGTCTTATTTCCCAGCTGCTGAGAGATGATGCTGAAGGTGTGTGGCTGTGCTCCTTGCTCCTGGCACACGGTGAGAATCACTCGGTCAGCTTCCCTGCGACAAGTATATCAGGATTAATTGTAAAAAGCCATATGGATACGTTCTAGACTCTTTCCAAATCTACCATCTATCCTTACCTTGTCCACAGGACAACTTTCTCCCCGGTGGAGCTAACTTTGCTGTTATTAGCACACACTGTAGCTTCTGTGGCCTTCAGTGGCAGTTCTCCTTGCTGCTCTGGGCCCTTGCCTTGTATTCCAGAATCTTTAACTAAATCCCCTCTGAAGGCTTTGGGGGAAGTCTCTGAGATATCAACTCCTGAAGAAGATTCATGGTCAGAAGACATCTTGTCTGCTGTCTTTGTCCCAACTCTGCTTGAAGGCAGCCAGTTCTCATGATTACCTGGTTTCCCAGACACGTGTATTTTTTGTACTTCTCGGGTCCTTGAAGAATCAGGACTGAAGAAGGAAGCAGGGCCCTCATTAGTGCAGGGCAATTTCTCAGTTTCAGGTGCACCTGAGACCAGCATGGGGACTTCTGAGTCAGCTGCTGCCTGCTGGCCCTCCTCTTTCTGAGGTGAGAGAGATACACTGGGGCAGGAAAGAGCCTCAGCCCCAGCCTGGTTTCTGACAGTGGAGGATACAGCTCCAGTTTGGGAACAAAGTTGGAGAGTGTCTGGTAAGGGAGGTGCAGGGCCCGCAAGGAGCTGTTCTGTAAGAGTCTCTTCTTGAAGAGGCAGCAAAGTGTTCCCCACTGTTGACCCTGCTTCAGAGGGAAAAAAGGATTAGAGGATGCACAGGATCATGATGCACCCAAGAACTGAAAACTACCATAGTCCCTGGTGAGGTGCTGGAATAAACCTATATAAAAGAGTGCAGGACACCAGGCACCAGTGGCTCACACCTGTAATTCTAGTTACGCAGGAGGCTGGGATCTGAGGATCACTGTTTAAAGCTAACTAGGGCAGGAATGTCCATAAGACTTTTTTTTTCCCCAGTCATGGGGTTGAACTCAGGGCCTGGGCACTGTCCCTGAGCTTCTTTCGCTCAAGGCTAGCACTCTACCACTTGAGTCATAGTGACACTTCTAGCTATTTCTGTTTATGTGGTATTAAGGAATCGAACCCAGGGCTCCATGCATGCATGCCTAGGCAAGCAGTTTACCACTAAGCCACATTCCCAACCCCAACCATGAGACTCTTATCTCCAATTAACCACCAGGAAACCAGAAGTGCTGTGGCTCAAAGTAGTAGAGTGCTAGCCTTGAGCAAAAGAGCTCAGGAATAGTACTCAGGCCCTGAGTTCAAGCCCCAAAACTGACCCACTCCCCCCTCCCAAAAAAAAAAAAAAAAAAAGTGGTAGAGGTGAGTGCGACATCATTCACACAAGGGTATAAAGTCCTAATGCCAAGAGCTGAGTCTCGACAGGATTTGGAGACCAGTGGAATTCCTGGTCAGGAATGGGAATGGGGGGATAGTATCAAGTTCTGTGGACTCCACAGCACTATAGGAGAGATTACAAGCTGAACAGGAAAAGGGTTTCTATTGAAAGGGAAGTACTATACCCATCCTTTGAAAGACTGGTGGGTTGTTTTTTTTTTTTTTCTTTGTAGTCATGGGGCTTGAATTCAGGGTCTGAGCACTATCCCTGAGCTTTTTTGCTCAAGGCTAGTGCTCTACCACTTTGAGCCACAGAGCCACTTCCAGTTTTCTGTTTGCTAATTGTAGATGAGTCTCATGGACTTTTTTGCCCAGGCTGGCTTTACACTGTGATCCTGATCTCAGCCTCCTGAGCAGCTAGTATTGCAGGCATGAGCCACGTGCCTGGCAAGACTGTTATCAAGCTCTCTAAGGATCCTGTTGAAGTTAGGAGAATGAAACTAAGAACTCATTGGGAGAAAGGCTGGGCAGGCCTAGTTTGGCAGATTACTCACGTGGAATGGGCACCTCTCCCTTTCTGATGGTCCTGCTCGTCCTGCTCTGAGTTGACTCAATGCTCTCCCGTTCCTCTGGGACTTCCTCTTCCACCACATCCTTGCCCTGGCCTGCTTCCTTAACACCAGACATAGGACTAGCTGCTCCATGGGGGCTGCTGCCCACCAACTCATGGGGCTCCTTGTTCTTGTAGGATTTATTCTCACACACCTGCAAAGATACTTTTTAGGTCAAAGGTGTCCTGACTTCCCTCCTATGTTTCAGGGGCCCAACGAAATATAAAAGCCAACTTGCTGCTCATACTCAGCAGGTCAACTATCAAGCTCATAGAACTTTAAATAAATAGCCCTAACCAGAGTACTGAACTTCATTACTACTCTAACCTCTGAGGACTACATTTGTGCCTCCAAGAGAGCCAGAATTACATTTTTTGTTGTTGGTGGTGGTGGTCATGGGGCTTGAACTCTGGGCCTAGGTGCTGTCCCTCAGCTCTTCAGCTCAAGGCTAGCGTTCTACCACTAGAGCCACAGCACCACTTCCAGTTTTCTGAGCAATTTATTGGAGTCTCACGGACTTTCCTGCCCGGACTAGCTCTAAACTGAGATCCTCAGATCTCAGCCTCCTGAGTAGCTAGGATTATAGGCTTGAGCTACCATGGCCAGCTCAGAATTACTTTTAGAATCTATTTTTCTTTTTTCTTTTTTTTTGGGGGGTCCAGTCGTGTGCCTGAACTCTGGGTCTGGGCGCTGCCCCTCAGCTCTTCAGCTCAAGGCTAGCGCTCTATTACTTGAGCCACAGCGCCACTTCCAGCTTTTTGCTTATGTGGTGCTGAGGAATTGAACCCAGGGCCTCAAGCATGCAAGGCAAGTGTTCTCCCACTGAGCCACCTTCCCAGCCTTAGAATCTATTTTTCTAATTCAGATTTCTCTCTCACCCCCCCCCCCCCCCCCCGCACACACACACACACGGACACAAAGCTAGTATCTGAACTTCTTTTTCCTTAATTCTAAAAGCTTTACTCAAAAGGTTATTTTTCTTTATGTGTATGCCAGTCCTGGGGCTTGAACTAAGGGCCTGGGTACTATCCCTGAGCTCTTATGCTCAAGGTTAGGGCTCTACCACTTGAGTCACAGCAAAATTCATCTTATATTTCTAAAAGATATTTGCACATGTACGTGTACAAATAGTGTGCATTTCTTTCATATATGTAATCTTTCTAAGGATTCAGAAAGGTGCAAACCTATGGTAGCTGACAAACGCTATCACAGTATTTGCCTGGGGTTGTCCTGATAGCTGATACCCTCCATCCCAGTACCATGAGCACCTGTCTCACCTTGTTACTACAGTGACTACAATTTCTCCTCTTGCTCTTCTTCAGCTTGGAGTCGGGACCTCCTTCGTGGCAAGCACAGGAACAGTCCTTGGTCCCATCTGGCCAATCAGTCTCCTAGCAGATACATGGTCTTGATTATTCTCAGTACCAAGGAAGGAAGTTAAATTATGAGCCACCTGACGAGACCTTTCCTTTTTTGTGGGGGTGGGGAGGGAAAGGGTGGGGTAGGGTTGGTCATGGGGCTTGAACTGGGGCCTGAACAGTATCCCTGAGCTTTTTTGTTCAAGGCTAGTACTCTACCACTTGAGCCAAGCTCCATGTCCAGCTTTTTTGGAATACTTTATAGGAGATAAGAGTCTTAAGGGCTTTCCTGTCCAGGATGGCTTCAAACTGCCATCCTCAGATCTCAGCCTTCTAAGTAGCTAGGATTACAGATATGAGCCACCAGTGCCTGGCTTCCTTTCTTTTATTATGTACCACCTCATCTCATTGCCTGGTAAAAATCAATGAAATCTATTATGAACCCTGGAACAACCGTAAGTGACTCAAAGAGGAAATAGTCCAATCACCCAGATATTTCAAGCTATATTTAAGTCAAATAAATTTTGAGGTTGTACATGAGATAGGACCTACATACTTTGTTTCCCTGTGTTCTGAACTCTCCCCCTCTCTTCCAACCCTCTTGGTTAGACTAGGAGTAAGACATGTAACAGATGTAGACTTGAAAGACTACTTCTGGTGCTGGGAAGGTGGCTCAGTGGTAGAGTGCTTGCCTTGCATGCACGAGGCCCTGGGTTTGATTCCTCAGCACCACATAAGCTGAAAAGGCCAGAAGTGGCACTGTGGCTCAAGTGGTAGAGTATTAGCCTTCAGCAAAAGAGCTGAGGGATGGTGCCCAGGCCCAGAGTTCAGGCCCCACGACCAGCCCTGCCCAGTCCCCCCAGCAAAAAAAAAAGACTACTTCTGGAAGAGAAGACAGAGCAGTCAGGGAAGACTCTAGAGCTATATTACCTGGGCCCAAGTTCCAGGAGTACTACTTGATAAACAAGTGACTAGCAATAGCCTCTCTCTTCTGTAAATCGTAAATAACACTCTCCCCACAAGATTACTCTGAAAATTAAATAAATTGTAAAAAAAACCCAAAAAACAAAAAAACCTAATTTCCAAATAATGCTAATACTTAGTAATACAGCTAAATATTAGCTCCTATACCAGGCATAAAGGAAATTCTGTATCCTCCTATGAACAAAAAATGAAAATATTTAAGATCTTTCATTTTTGAATAAGAAAAACACCTCTGAGTTCTGAGACACATGGCCTCTTCACCAACCGCGTTGTCTGCTCTCGTGCTTTCCGCAGAAGCCTCCCCTTTGGTTTGTACTCCATGATCACCTCAGAACCTTGAGACACGGGGCCAGGGGCTTGTGACCATACCAAGCCAGAAAAACATTTAGAGAGAAAGTAGAGGCCTGATTCATGAAAAGTAGCTAGTTCCCAATATCCTGACATACCTTATCATGATTCTGGATCCCAATCTCTTTTCTCCTCTTGTTCTTTGAAGTGGAAGGTATTTTGGGAGGTTCTTCTTCCTCTTCCACATCAGGCAGTGCCACTTCTTCAAAGCCATCAAACTGAGGAGGAGTTGGTGTCAATAAACACAGGCTCTGGGGCTGATAGCCCTCCTGCAGGTGGCTGTTCCCTTCACAACCCTAATGTACCCTCAGGGCCTGTACCTCATACTCTTTCTCTTCAGTCCAGTTGATTTCTTCAAAGTCACCCATCCTGCTAGCTGCTGGACGAAGATGGTCAAAGAAGATAGAAAACTCATCTTGTAGGTGGTCATGACCCTTGAGGAGCTGCCACATCTGTGTCTTGAGCTGCAAATAGGCAGATGCAAAGATAGTCTTTGAGTCAATCTAAGCCAGTGCCATATACTCCCAACATTCTGCCTTGCAAGCCAACCTAAAGAAACATAGAACTCCTCTCTCTCTGTCTCTCTCTCATTTATTTTTTGTGTCTGAGCCTGAGCTTTTTGCTCAAGGCTACCACTCTACCACTTGAGACATAGCTCCACTTCTGGCTTTTTGGTGGTTAATTGGAAGTAAAAGTTTCACTGGGCACCAATGGCTCACACCTGTAATGCTAGCTACTCAAGAGGCTGAGATCTGAGGATCGAGGTTCAAGGCCAACCTGGGCAGGAAAGTCCGTGAGACTCTTATCTCCAATTAATCACCAGAAAACTAGAAATGGCACTGTGGCTCAAGTGGTAGAGCACTAGCCTTGCGCTGAAGAGCACAGGGACAGCACCCAGGCCGAGTTTAAGACCATGACCAACGGAAAAAAAAAAAAAAAGAGAGAGTCTCATAGACTTTCCTGCTCAGACCGGCTTCAAACCACAATCCTCAGATCTAAGCCTCCTGACAAGCTAGGATTACAGGTGTGAGCCATTGGTGTTCATCTATAGAGCCTCTCTTTAGTGGGTAATAATTCACATGCAACTTCTCCCTTCTTGTTTACCTGCAGAGGAAGGATATTAGTAACAGATTTGATTCCTAGTGATAGCACTCTCCACTCTTGTCCAACTGGTCCCCAGGTAGGACAAAGCCTAAGCAGAATAAGAGACAAGCCCCTTCTAAGTCTCACACTTCTCTCTTGATTATCCCTCTCATGGCACGGATGATACTCCACAATTTGAGAAAACAAGACAGGTCCTGGATTCAGGTGACCATACCTGGCTTCACGCCTTAAATAAGCCTTAAAAGGTCTTACTTTCCTCATCTCCTCCAGGTGTCCATGACACTTCAGAGGCAAAAAGTATATGGAATAAGATAGGGGAACAGAGAAGGCAACAACCTAATACTCAAATGGCAATAAAAAGGAGGCAGGGCAAGAAAGAATACCTCTGTGATCTCCTGAGGAAGGCAGTCTGCACAGCCTTGGAGGACCTTGATGATCTTCTGGTGGTGTGAAGGGTTCTCTGCGAAGCAAATCTCCAGCTGACGAAGGAATTTGCGACTCTTCTCAAAAGCCTGCTGCTCCTCAAACTACCAGAGTAGAAGAAGGGCAAGAGGGGAGTTACTAACTAGCTAGTTCAGGACTTGAGAACGCTTAAGAACTAAGAACATGGGCTACAGAAATGGAGTATAAAGTGGTTCTATTTTAAACCCAAGCATCCATCTACACTAGGCTCCTGAGAACTAACTACTAACCTAAGAAATTAAGATGTGAATGAAAGATATACATATTTCAAGTTGCTTACTATTTTATAGATGGAGAAATCAGGCACTCAAACTTATGTAGTACTCCAGAGTTTACAAAAAATGTTCACACATACACACATCTAATCCTCATAACAAAGTCGAAGGAGAAGATGAGCATTATATACATAATCACCATATTGTCATTAAACTGGCATTAAAACTATCAAGATTATCTTATTATTCTCTTTATTCCTATTTTATCAATCATGAAGTCCAAAACTACTGGATTACGTCTCATATTTCAACATTTCAAACATTACCTTACCCTAGTGGCCTTCCCAGAACATCGAGTATCAAAGTGAAGATACCATTCCCCCACCCATCTTACTTCCAAGACTACAGTCCCTTTCTTTAGTTTTCAATAGGACATTATCACTATAAACCATAACATACCATATATTTTATTGTTTATTTTTATAATCTACGTATTTATATACACATATACACACATGTTCATATAATTTATGATTATGGATTATTCATCTCCTTTCTCTATTATTGAAGGCAGGAATCTTAGTCTTTTTTAAATGCTATAATACTAGCTCTAACAGCTTTGCCTGGCACAATACTTAATGAAAGAATGCCTGCTTTAGCTGGTGCCGGTGGCTCATGCCTATAATCCTAGCTAGCTACTCAAGAGACTGAGACCTGAGGATCAAAGTTTCAAGCTAGCCTGGGCAGGAAAATCAGTGAAACTCTTATGTTCAATTAACTATCAAAAAAGCCAGAAGTGAAGCCAGATGCCAGTGGCTCACATCTGCAATCCTACCTACTCAGAAGGCTGAGAGCTGAGGATTGCAGTTTGAAGTCAGCCTGGACAGGAAAGTCCTTGAGATTCTTATCTCCAATAAACTACTCATAAAAGGCCAGAAGTAGAGTTCTGGCTTAAGTGGCAGAGTGCTAGCATTGAGAAAAAAAAAAGTTCAGACTGGGAAGGTGGCTCAGTGGTAGAGTGCATCCATAAGGTCCTGGGTTCGATTCCTCAGCACCACCTAAACAAAAAAGCCAGAAGTGGTGCTGTGGCTCAAGTGGCAGAGTGCTAGCCTTGAGCTAAAGAGCTAAGGGACAGTGCCAAGGCTCAGAGTTCAAGCCCCACGAATGACCAAAAAAAAAAAGAAGAAAAGGAAAAAACAGCTCAGGGACAGCACTCAGGCCCTGAATTTTAAGCCGCAGGATGACACTGACATTTAAAAAAAAAAAAAAAAAAAAAGCTACAAGTGGAGATCTCGGGGATGGCATTCAGGCCCTGAGTCCAACCCCTAAAACCAGTGCACAAGCACATGCATACTCAAACACACAGACAGACACACACATACACACCTTATTCACTATGTAAAATTAAATGAGAGAATGGGGTTAGGGAGGAACATTAGAAGACAAAGCTCTTGCTCTGACCCAGGAATTTTGTGTGATCTTTTTGTCCATCTACTTACTAATCCACAGGCCAGAGCTTGCTCAGGTAACAAGAAAGCAGCAAAATCCTTCAAAAGCTGAGGCCACTCTTGGAGCAGAATTTGCAAGCTTTTGTAGAGATCCACAGCAGTCTGCCTCTGAGTGTTTGACTCAAATTCATAGATGACCTGAAGGAAGTCTTCGTATTTGCCAGGAATATGCTGTAGGGCTTCTCGTACCTACACAGGAAGACTTCCAATCACCAAGGGAGACAGGAGAATTGCAAAGAGCTCCAAGAGTTAAACTTCAGAGGCTCTCCCCTGACAGATCTTCACATGTGAGCAATGTAGAGTTCCTTTGCTGGCAGGGACAATTAACAACCTTCATTTTCCAGAGACTACGGAACTGCCAACAGACAAGGTAATGCTTTTCTCTAGGTCACGGCCCTAAGCTCTCCTTCCTGATTTCAACCCCATAATAAAACAAGTAAGTTTGGTAAATGGACTTTAGATTGTGTCCCCCATAATAAAATAAGTAAGTTTGGTAAATGGACTTTAGATTGTGTCATCTGAAGATACATAATACATAATTTGTAATGGTAGTAAAATATTAGGAACAAGAAAAAGCTATAATTATCCCTGCTACTACTTCACTTTGATGAGGGAGGACAACAAACCGGTACATTGCCAAGAGGGGAGGTAGCTACCAGAACACCACTGAGATCTGCTCTCTGGCCTGAGTACTACTTGTCATTTTTCTTGAGCCAAGAGCTTAAACAGCTTTTTATCAGCCCAGACAATCTTCCACTGATGAGAAATATATCATCTGTACCCCTATCTTTGAGCAAAAGAGAGAGGAGAACAATCAGCCCAGGTATGACTGAACTCTGTCTTCTCACGGCTCTCACAGCCGTGGTATTCCAGAAGCTTAGGTAGAAATAAAGCATGTTGTACAGCCTAAAAAAAATACATTGGGATGGGGGTGGGGAGGAGCAGTACTAGGAATGGAACCCAGGGCCTTGAACTTGGAAGGGAAGCGCTCTACCACTGAGCTATACAGCTATAACCCCACCCCACCGACCCAGACTTTATTTTTAAAACATCTCTTGAGGATAGGAGGTCACTGGAGGAAAGGAAGGGGTGACTTTGTGCAAAAAACATCTACTCATTACCTGATTTATGAAATGGTAAACCCTCTGTACAACACCTTAATAATAACAATAAAATTATATTAACTACAGCAACATCTCCCGGGAAGAAGTAGGCACATTCATAGAAACAGACAGAAACAGAAGCATCATTTGCCTACCCTGGTCAGATAAGCCTGGGCAAAGGCCAAGTCCTTCTGCTCCCTGAGAGGATCCCGCTCCAGAATGTCTTCATCATAGAGCAACAGCAGCTTGGAGGTGTCTTTGCTGGCCCGAGCACGACTTCCCCGCTTACTGCGAACTCGATGACTGTTGCGGCCCTTTCCAGCAGCTTTGATGCTCCCGCCTTTGGAGTACATTGAGAAAAGATTGTTTCTCAGTCCCTGCAGCCATGCCATTTACCACATGCACTCCCACATCCAATCCTAGTAAACATCACAGAGCAACTCAAAAGTAGCTGGGAAAGTGGTAGTATAGACAGTCTGCTCCATCAAGTCAGCTCTACGCATAACTGGTATGACAAGGAGATAAAAGTAATGTATTTTAAGAAAGTATAAAGAGCATGGCCTTATGTTGGGGTCTCAAGCAATTATACCTTGTGGTCTGGATTTTTCTTTTTTGGTTTTTGGGCAACTGGAAGAACTTGTCTTTTTTCTTTTTCTTTTGTTGGTCATGGGGCTTGAGGGCAGGGCCTGAGCACTGTCTCTGAGCTCTTTACCTCAAGGCAAGCACTCTACCACTTGAGCCACAGCCACGTTTTGTTTTCTCAGTGGATTATTGGAGATAAGAGTCTCACAAACTTTTCTGCCCAGGCTGGCTTTGAACCATGATCCTCAGATCGAAGCTTCCTGAATAGCTAGGATTACAGGCGTGAGCCACCAGCACCCCACTTGGAACTTTTCTTAATTTTTTTTGGGGGTGGTGGTGGTGTGGGGAAGGCCAGTCTTGTGGCTTGAACTCGGGGCCTGGGTACTATCCCTGAGCCTCTTTGTGCTCAAGGGTAGCGCTCTACCAGTTGAGCCACAGCACTTTTGGCTTTTTCTGAGTAGTTTTTGGGAGATAAGCGTCATATGGACTTTGCTGTGCACCATGTCAATGTTTGGAGAAAGAAAAGCTGCAGAGGAGATCCACAGGACTTCTCTGAAATCATTCACTCTACACAATGACCTCTAGATAAGGTGGCTAAATGAGCCCTCTGCGCAGGTTTACCGTACTCACCTGGTGGGGTTCTGCTGGTCTCTACTTCTGGAGTAGTCTTGGGTGAGGCTAAGGTAGAAGGGGGCTTCTCCACAGCATCACCTACTGCTTCATCAGTCATTTCATCCTCTTTCTGATGGTTTTCCATTCCTTCTACTTCCTCTTCCTCCTCTTCTTCTGGCTCAGAATTCTCCTCTTGGGAGTTCTCCTCCTCAGACTCACCTTCCTGACTCATGCGCCTTTCAGATGCCAGCCAAGTTAGTTTCTCCATTGTTTCCTGAAAACTCCCAAAAAGTACTTGTAAGGAATTCTAGTGGTTCACAAAATGCTGAATCAGGAGGATCTAAGGTAAAACACTGTAGGCTCACAACTGAGTTATAGAATTCAATGGATAGTGAGGGCTGGATATAGGTAGCAGAAAGTAGGAAGAATATACTTTTTGAAGGGTCCCCTACATCTTTGTTGTTGTTGTTGTTTTTGTAGGTTGTGGGGCTTGAACTCTGGGCCTGAGCACTGTCCCTCAGCTCTTCAGCTCAAGGCTAGCACTCTACCACTTGAGCCACAGAGCCACTTCCAGTTTTCTGAGTGGTTTATTGGAGATTAAGAATCTCAGGGACTTTCCTGCCTGGCTGGCTTTGAACCGTAATCCTCAGATCTCAGCCTCCTGAGTAGCTAGGATTACAGGCGTGAGCCACCGGTGCCCCGCCCCCTACATCTTAGTTTTCCTTTGCTATGACCCATACTTAGGCCATACTTAGGATAATTTTTTTTCTTCCTCCCTCTTCTTTTTTTTTTTCCTTTTTTTTTTTTTCGGTTGTGTGGCCTGAACTCTGGGCCTGGGTCCTGTCCCTCAACTCTTCAACTCAAGGCAAGCGCTCTACCACTTGAGCCACAGTGCCACTTCTGGCTTTTTTCTGCTTATGTGGTGCTGAGGAATTGAATCTAGGGCATGCATGCGAGGCAAGCACTCTACCACTAAGCCACCTTCCCAGCCCCTCTTCCTCTTCTTTTTTCCTCCCTTTTCTCCCTGCTTTCCATCGCTCCTTCCTTCCAATAGCGATAAAGACTAAACCAAAGGCTGGTTTTTTTTATTTGCCGGTCCTGGGGCTTGAACTCTGGGTCTGGGCACTGTCCCTGAGCTTCTTTAGCTCAAGGTGAATACTCTACCATTTGAGCCTCAATGCCACTTCTGGCTTTTTCTGAGTAGTTCATTGGAATAAGGGTCTCACAGACTTGCCTACCCAGGCTGAATTCAAACTCTGATCCTCAGATCTCTGCCTCCTAAGTAGTTAGGACTACAGGTGTGAGCCACCTGCACCCACCTTTGCTGGTTATTTTGAAGGAGTCTTGTGGATCTCCCTGCCAAAACTGCCTTGGATCACAATCCTCTGAATCTCAGCCTCCTGAGCAGCTAGGATTATTGGCATGAGCTACCAGTGCTCAGCATTATGAGCTATTTTAACATACTTAAAGTGTTTATAAGTGGGGGAGGGGGGAAGGGGAGTGACAATGGTTGCTCATGCATTTAATCTGTTACTCAGGAGGATCTGAGAATCAAGGTTGAAAGCCAGCCCAGGCAGAAAAATCTAAGATACTCTTTTTGTTGTTGTTTAATTTTTTATTATGAAAATATCATACTGAGGAGTTACAATTACATGGGCAAGATAATGAGTACATTTCTTATCAAGCATTGTTGCTTCCTCCTTTGTTTCTCCTTCCCATCCCTTCCCATATCCCAACCCCCCACCCATATCTCCCCCACTCCCCTGCCAAAGTTGTAAAGTTCATTTTTTGACATAACGACTTGTACATCTCATTGTTGCAATGGGTCCACCTGTATCCCTATTTAAACGAATTTTTTTTTCCCTTCCCTCTAACATACCCTTATATCCAATTAATCAAGAAAAAGAAATGTAGGTATGGCTCAAGTGGCCCTCAGTCCAAGCCCCAGTACGGCCACAAAAAAATAAAAATAAAATGTGCTTGGGCAACTCAACTTAATGTTAAAATGAGTTTTATTCCAAGTAAAATTTTCTTTTTCTCTTTCATTTCACTTCAATCTCAAAATTATATAATGCAATCAAAAATAAAATAGAGAAAGTAGCACTGTAGCTCAAGTGGTAGAGCACTCGCCTTGAGCTGAAGAGCTGAGGGACAGCACCCAAGCCCAGAGTTCAAGCCCCATGACCAACAAAAAATAAAATAACAAATAAAAAATAAAGGGTTGGGATATAGCTCAGTGGCAAAGCGCTTGCCTAGCAAGTGCAACGTCCTGGGTTCGATCCCCAGTACCAAAAAAGAAAAGACAAAAAAATACAGTTAAAAAAAAAATAAAAATAAAATAGAAAAGATGAGGGAGACCAATGGAAGGGATGATACTGATCAATATGCATTGTACTCATCACCTGACTTCTGGAAATGAAACCGCTTTGTACAACTATTTAATTTTTTTTTTAAGTATACTAGAGGGAGAATAATGAAAAAGAAGTAACCAGATCAAAATGCATTGTAATTATAAACTGACCTGTCAAATTGAAATCTTTTGTACAACTACTTAAAAGACAATTTTAAAAAATTATGCCAGGCATTGGTGGCTTACATCTGTAATCCTAGCTATTCAAAAGGCTGAGATCTGAGTATTGTGGTTCAAAGCCAACCCTGAAAGGAGAGCCTATGTGACTCTTATCTCCAATTAACTACTTTTAAAAAACTAGAAGTGGGGGCTGGGAAGGTGGCCTAGTGGTAGAATGCTTGCTTAGTATGCATGAAGCTATGGATTTGATTCCTCAGTACCATATAAACAGAAAAGGCCAGAAGTGGCGCTGTGGCCAAGTGCCTTGAGCAAATGAAGCTCAGGGAAAGTGTTCTGGCCCTGAGTTCAAGCCCCAGGACTGGCAAAAAAAAACAACAACAACAACAAAAAAAAAAAACTAGAAGTGAGGCTATGGCTCAAGTGGTAGAATACTAGCCCTGAACACAAAAGCCCAGGGGCAGTGCCCAAGCCCTGAGTTCAAGTCCCAGGACTGGTACCAAAAGAAAAAGAGAAAAAATTGAAACAATTTTAAAGTGAAATGGAAATCACTTTAAGACTATCTAGAGCAGAATAACAAGCAGGTATATAAACTCAACATATTACTGAGATACCCCGCAAAGTAACTTTGAGATTACTCCCCAGCTCTTACCTGGAGTTCAGGAACAGAAAGCACAGACTCCTCAGAAGCTGATGACATTTCATCTTCCTCATCTTGGGTAAGGTCATCAAAGTCCTCCTCTTCCTCTTCCTCTGGCCCATCCTTCTCTCCTCCAGTTTCTGGCACCACTGGGATCCCCAATGACTGACCATCAACACTGGATGTATCTTCAGACTTCCTTGGGGGACTATTAAGCACTATTTCCGGGTCTATGGATGATGGAACATTCTTAGGTGTCCTTTTGCTCACATCTCCCCCTGGATTTTCATCAGGAGGCTCTTGAGAAGCTGAAGGGGATGAAGCTGCCTGGCTGCACTCTTCCTTCTGCAGGATCATCTGCTTCTTTACATCTCTAGCACTGCTCAGCTCCTCCCTTAGGGAATCAGTGCTCAATTCAATAGAGTGTTCATTTTTTATTTCATCACAAATTTCCTGTTCAGGGAAGCCACTGGAGATCTCCTCCACAGGGTCCTCAGGTTCTAGCTTGACTATTTCCTCTAAATCCCCGTGGGAGGAACATAGGGATTCCTGGAAGCCTTGAGGCAATGTCTCCAGAGTCTGCCTCCCCTCCTCTGTTTTCACTATAGCCCAACCACAGGCACTCTTCTCTGACAACCCTTCCTGAATTTCAGATTTCACAACTGTCACTCCACAGGCAGGTCTCTCTGACAACCCTTCCTGGCATTCTCTATCTGCTGGGGGAGGCCCTGGGCTGTGTTCCTCTTTGGGGAAGACAGTGGCACACAGAGGAGTTAGTTCCTGGGGTTCTAATTTGGGCTCAAGGCTTTGAGAGGCATTCTTTCCTTCAACCAAAGGACAAGCAATGTCTGAGTTCACCTGGGTCTTATCTTTGAGGGTAGATGGTATTGGGAGATTCACAGAATTTCCAGAAACAATTAAGGGTGAGATGGAGGAAGCAACAAGGGGTTGGTTTAATGGACAGGGAAAAGGAGCAGGGTTGACCAGGAGAGTGGTAATGGGAATGGTCTGGGGGTTGGGGGCCACAGCTGCATTGACAGGCTGGATCATGTTACAGCCACTGCCAAGACTCACAACCTTCACAGTGGCAGCAGGGACAGTGAAGATAACAGGAGTGGGGTGCATGAGTGGGGCAGGTTTCACACAGGGAGAAGCCTTTGCCCCTTTCCTTCTTGAGGGTTTCCGCCTTACACATGGTTTTCGAAATTTAGATGGGGCTAGAGAAGGCAGCATCATCTTGGGCACAGGTGCAGAGGGGAGTAGGGTGTGAGACTCAGGAAAAGGGATGCTGGTCCTAGCCTCAGCAGGCACAGCAGGCAGTGCTGTAGTAGACTCAAAATTGTCCTTTCCCTGGGGATCACCCAAGGAAGGGAAACCTGGAACTGTCTGTAAAACAGTAGCTGGCTGGATCAGATGAGGAATCTGGACCACCATTTTGCTTGGAGGGACTTCAGATTGAGTTGGCCATGCTGCTATTTTCCCCGGGTTGAAACTAGGCAGGACAGAGGGGCTAGGTTGAATAAGGAGGGGTTTCAGGACTGATGAACGCTTCTGTCTCCAAGCCTTCCTGGAGAAACGCTTGGAAACAGGCTTCAGTTTCAGTACTACATCCTTGGGTAACAGCAGTGGGTATCGAGTTTCATTCCCCAACTCTGGTCTGGCTTTTTCTTGGTCTTTCTTTTCATTGACCTCAGTGGTTCTAGTTACATTTCCTTCCTCTGTAGCACCATTAGTTATGTTCTTCATTTCTTCCTGGATCGATGGTAGACTGGCCTATTGAGAATACAGAAGAGCTCATCAACATTCTTTAACGTAAGAATTTAGGGGAAGCCAGGCATCAGTGGCTCACACCTATAATCCTACCTACTCAGGATGTTGAGATCCAGAGGATTATTGTTCAAAATCAGCCCAGGCAGAGATTCAATCTCCAAAATGGCCAGTTAAAAAGAAAGGGTAGCTGAGCACCAGTGGCTCATGCCTGTAATCCTAGCTACCCCTGAGGCTGAGCTCTGAGGATCTCAGTTCAAAGACAATCTCAGGGAAGGGAAGTCTGTGAGATTCTTATCTCCAATTAATTCCCAGAAAACCAGAAGTCAAACTGTGGCTCAAGTGGTAGAGTGCTTGCCTTGAGCTAAAGAGCTCAGAGACAGCACCCAGGCCCAGAGTTCAAGCAAAGAAAGAAAAGAAAAGAAAAAAAAAGAAAAGAAAAGAAAGAAAGAAAGAAAGAGAGGGGGAGGGAGGGAGGGAGAGAGGGAGGGAAAGAGAAAGAAAGAAAGAAGAAAGAAAGAAGAGAGAGAAAGAAAGAAGAAAGAAAGAGAGAGAAAGAAAAAGAAAGAAAGAAAGAAAGAAAGAAAGAAAGAAAGAAAGAAAGAAAGAAAGAAAGAGAGAGGAAGGAAGGAAGGAAGAAAGGAAGGGAAGGGAGGGAGGAAGGAAAGAAAGAAAGAAAGAAGGAAAGAAAGAAAGAAAAAAAAGGTGGTAGGGCACCAATGAATGGCTCATGCCTATAATTCTAGCTACTGGGAAGGCTAAGCTCTGAAGATTAAAATTTGAGGCCAGCCTAGGCAGGAAAATCTGTGAGACTCTTACCTTCAATTAATCACCAAAAGCTAGAAGTGAAGCTGTAACGTAAGTGGTAGAATGCTAGCCTTGAGCAAAAAAAATCAAGGACGGCATCCAAGCCCTAAGCTCAAGCCCCAGGACCATTATATACACACAAAAAAAGGAAAAGTATGGCTCAAGGGGCATGAGCAAGTAATTCAAACTCCTGAGCTCAAACACCAGTATCTACCTCCAAAAAAGAAAAAAAGGAGAAAGTATAGGACTTTCTAGATTTTTAAGGACCTTTTCAGACAGTCTCAAGTTGTCTTTCCAAAAAGGGTCTTTCTACATATCAAATATATAAACTCTTCTTTGAGTTTTAGAAATTATCATTTTATCATTATTTTGAGAAGACTGTAATTACCTAGGAGAAAAGCAGAAGAGTAAAGGAAGAAGGGTATATGAGGGAAATAAGTCTCAGTTCAACAACTAAAATATTAGAAGCTTAAAGTAGCCCTTGAGAGCTGGAAGGTTGCTTAGTGGTAGAGTATTTGCCTAGCATGCAAGAAGCCCTGGGTTCGACTCCTTAGTACCATATAAACAGAAAAGCCAGGAGTGCTGTGGCTCAAGTGGTAGAGTGCTAGCCTTGAGCAAAAGAAGCTCAGGGACAGTGCCTAGGCCCTGAGGTCAAGCCCCAGGACTGAGGGAAAAAAGAAAAAAGAAGAAAAAAAAAAAGGTAACCTTGATATTTCTGCCAGAAATTGTGGTTACTTTAGGCCTCCAATAGACTTTTAGGAGAAAGGCAGTACCTTTAACCAGAAAGGGAGTCGGTGTTCTTCTCTCTCTACAGGTGGCTTCCACTGATGTGGCTGGATCTCTTCACAACACCTTACCAGGATTGGCAGCTGTTTAGTCTTCTTATAAAACTGAGCATGAATGAATGGGGGAGAACAATGCAAGGGGTGATGGTGACACTGATCAAGAAGCATTGTACTCATAACCTGACTTACGGAATTGAAACCTTTTTGTACAACTATTTAATAATAATTTTTTAAACAGCATTAAGAAATAAAGCATTAGTTATATTCCTTCCAAAAATATGCAATATTTTTGTTAATCTATAATTTATAAAGATTTTATAATTACTTAGAATCTCCTAACTGGCAGTCTCCATACAGATTGGGAAAAAGGAAAACATTTAGGTCACAGAGAAAAAGGAAGCAGTTGGTAAGAATAACTTTGTGTAGGATTTGCCCTTGGTCCACAGCTGCAGATACTGACTTAACCTTCCTCTTGGACACCTGAAAACTACTTTCACACAAGTAATGGTGTAAACATCATAGAAAGGAAAAAAAAAAAAAGATTCAATTTTTGGAACCAATGAGAGAGGAAAACATGAAGATTTAGCTAGAGTTTTGCCTAGCATGCATGAGGACTGGTACCTGATCCCCAGCAATGAAGAATGGATAGATGAATGGATAGATGGATGGATGGATAAATAAGGGAGTATTGGCTTAAACCATAGATAATAAACACCTATTCTTTCAGAATATGTTGAATGTGTACTAAGCACAGAGATATAAAGTTGAGCATAAAGCCGGGCGCTGGTGGCTCACGCCTGTAATCCTAGCTACTCAGGAGGCTGAGATCTGAGGATCACGGTTCAAAGCCAGCCCGGGCAGGAGAGACTGTGAGACTCCTATCTCCAATAAACCACCAGAAAACCAGAAGTGGCGCTGTAGCTCAAGTGGTAGAGCGCTCGCCTTGAGCTGAAGAGCTGAGGGACAGTGCCCAGGCCCAGAGTTCAAGCCCCACGACCGACAAAAAAAAAAAAAAAAAAGTTGAGCATAAAGACAAGAGAAGCAATTCCTAATTTCAAGCAATTCCTACTTCCAACTAGTGGGAAAGAGGCAAATAGACCAATAATGATACTCTATATAAGAAGAATTACATACAGCTGGGCACTGGTGACTCGCAATTGTAATCCTAGCTACTCAGGAGGCTGAGATCTGAGGATTGTAGTTCAAAGGCAGCTCAGCAGGAAAGTCCGTGAGACTCTCCAATTAACCACTAGAAAGCTGAAATGGAGTTGTGGCTTAAGGTGGTGGCACACTAGCCTTGAGCAGAAAAAGCCCAGGAACAGCACTCATGCCCTGGTTCAAGTCCCATACCCAACAAGAAAAGAAAATATACATACAACAATGTGCTTTAAAACTGATATACATCTTAAACCTGAACAAAAATATTTTGTGGGATAAGATGCAACAAAATCCTAATGACACAATTTTTTTTTTAAGCTGGGCAACAGTAACTCACACCTGTAATCCTAGCTACCCAGGAAGCTGAGAACTGAGCATCAAGGTTCAAAGCCAGCCTAGGCAAGAAAGTCTGTGAGACTTTTATCTCCATTAACTACCACAAAGCTGGAAGTGGAACTGTGACTCAAGTAGCAGAGGGCTAGCCTTGAGCAAAAAATGCCCAGGGACAGTACCCAGGCCCTGAGTTCAAAATCTAGGACCCTGGTTGGGAATGTGGCTCAGTGGTAGAATGCTTGCCTAGCATGCATGAAGCTCTGGGTTTGATTTGTCAGTACCACACAAACAGAAAAGGCAGGAAGTGGTACTATGGCTCAAGTGGTAGAGTACTAGCCTTGAGCACATAGAGGCTCAGGGACAGTGCCCAGACCCTGAGTTCAAGCCCCAGGACTGACAAAAAAAGAAATACATCAATGAATAAATAAGATAAATAAGAAGAAAGATGGGATAGATCTGGGTCCCTGAAGGTTAATTTTTTTTAAAAGGGGAGGGAGGGACTTAAATGTTCAGCATCAATGGTTGAAGTTTCATAAAATTAGGCCTAAATCTAAAACATCAAGCGTCAATTACAGGGATGGTATACTTAGATGTTGTAGGAAACCCACCAACCCAAAGAAAACTTGCTTAGTATGAGAGAAAAAAACTTTTTCATAACAAGCCTCATAGGACTATTTGTCTCTTTAAAATATACCTGTACAGGGCTGGGAAGGTGGCTCAGTGGTAGAGCGCTTGCCTTGCATGCATGAGGCCCTGGGTTCAATTCCTCAGCACCATATAAGCAAAAAGAAAAAAGCCGGAAGTGGTGCTGTGGCTCAAGTGGTAGAGCGCTGGCCTTGAGCTGAAGAGCTGAGGGACAATGCCCAGGCCCAGAGTTCAGGCCCCATGACCAGACCCAAAAAAAAAAACAAAAAAAACCTGTACATATAAAGCACATACTGTATAACTTCAACATAAATAAAAGAGCTGAGTTAAGAAGAACATGAGTGGAATACTGTATACCCTTGCAAGGTTAAAGTAAAAGAAGACTATATAAAGGAAATTAAAGATTTATGAAATCTTTTATGACTTGAATAATCCCTTTTATTTTGTCAGTTGTAGGGCTTGAACTCTGGGCCTGGGCACTGTCCTTCAGCAATTTAGCTCAAGGCGAGTGCTCTACCACTTAAGCCACAGCACCACTTCCGGTTTTCTCAGGGTTAATTGGTGATAAGACTTTCTTATCTCACAGACTTTCTTGCCCAGGCTGGCTTTGAACCGAAATCCTCTGTTCCCAGCCTCCTGAGTCAGGCATAAGCCACTGGCACCCGGTGAATAATCTCTTATTTAGAGAGAATATCCATAAGAGAGGTGAGGATAAAGATACTCCAGAGGAAAATGATGAACCAGTATCTTTGACAAGGCATACATGGAATTAATCTACTACAAGAGTGGGAGAGATGAGCCTCAGATAAAAGATCCCTCTCTACAAGGACATTAAGAAGAGGAGGGAAAAAAGACACACATGGAGTGGGAAGCTCAGGGGAGTTTTCAGGGAACACTTACTTTAATGATGTTGTTAGGAGCTCGGTTCAAGTTCAGGTTCTTAATTCTCACCGTGAGTTGGTGGGCAGTCTTGCAGGTTACAAGGTACTTGCTGATTAAAGGCTTTGGAAACTCAGTCCCTTCAAAATGTTTCAATCCTAAAGCTAACAAACTGAGAAAAGAGCGATCATAGTAAATCCCATCTCCCGGACATTTTCCAAAACGCCCTCCCCACACTAACTCCACAACATTTTCAAATACACAATTTCCATATCGCATCCTTATACACACTGGTGGCTACTCAATAACAAGTTCTATATGTTTTGTGAATGATGGTAAGTATTGTAAAGACCAAAGAGAAAGGGTTGGAGGTACAGTCTCTGCTGGAAGAGTGCCTGCTTAGCATGTGTGAGGTCCCAAGTCTCATCTCAAGACTGCAAAAAACAAAACATTCAACAAGAGTCCAAACTACTAGTAAACAGGAAAAGCAAGGCATAAAATCATTAATAAGATGGGCATGGTGGTTTCCAGACTGTTGTTCAAGGTACTTGGAAGGGAGAGGCAAGAGAATCACTCAAGACCAGGAATTCAAGGCCATACTGGGTAATAGAGTAAGATTCTGTCTCAAAAAAAAAAAAAATCATTAAGTATCAGATCACAATGAGCTTCATACTATAAAACGTAAGTTTAGAGGAGGGCCAAGATGGCAATGGAACAATCGGAAAACACCACAGCTCTCTCCAACCAGAGAGTTCAGGTTTCAATACTCCATTTCTCCAAGAGACTGACGACCAACAACAACAAAAAGGCCTAATACCCAGAGAGATATAGGAAGTGAAAAAAATGAAAAGAAAAATAACTTCAGAACCTATACAAAGACGGTAAAGCGGGAAGACCCTTCCCCCACCCCTTGCTGGCAGGCACCCAAGTGGCCTGGCCCAGGACCCACTAGGAACCACAGAGCCACAACGGTCCCAAAATTCCCAGAAGACTCCCAAGAGCTGGTGCCAACCCAGAGGTTACAAACAGAGACAGAAAATGCAGAGCTCAGAACCGGCAGGAAGACCCCCTCCCCACCCCTCACCTCAGCTCAGCTCCACACCATCCCGCCAAAGCACCCTGGCCCATGGTGGCTGGGGACCCCAGAACCACAGTGGTCCGGTCTGTAGAAGGCCAGCACAGAAAACAGCCACGGTGCTGACCCAGACAGCATAAACAGAGGCAGAGACTGTGAAACACAGACCCAACCCACACCACCACCCACCACAGCCCACGCGGAACACGGTGGTGACCAACAACGTACAGCACACAAAAACAGCAATCTGCCACAGTATCACTGGACGGCTCACAACTAGCTCTAAGATAAGTTAGTACCCCACAGGGTACGCCTCCCCCCATCCCCGCCATGGGAGACCAGTACTGGTGGTAACCCCCAGAACTTGACTTGGACCCTTCCCTCTACCACCTGGGCTATAGGTCCTATGGAAGCTAGGAACTGTGCAAGCACCCCAGCAACCAGCAAACACTCCCCCATCCACCCCACCCTGCCAGGCTTGACCAAGAGAGCCCCTGGGAGGGAGGGAGAGCAGTCTAGGCTGCTGGTTCTTGACTGAAGGCGAGCGAGAACTGCCTGGGATCTCCAGCAGGCAGCTGAAGGAGCCCTACCTGTATCCCAGGTGGGAGCCAAGCTGTCTGAACCACTTGTCCTAACTAGTCAGGCTCTAAGCACTTATCACAGCAGAGGGGGTGTCTATCCACCAGAACAAGCCCTCTCTGTGTCCCAGGTGGGAGCCCAAGTGTCTGAACCGCTTGACCCTGACTGGTCAGGATCTGAGTGCACACCACAGCAGAGGAGGGGAGTGTGTCTACCCACCAGAATCTAAGAGTGAGCCCTACATGTGTCAGACCAGCAGCTGAAAAGGAGTCCCTCCCCCAACAGAACTGAGACCAGGTAAAGTTCTCTCAACCAGCCCAGGGCTAAGAGCAAGCTTCATCTATTAATCCAGGAACCAATCCAGAACCAAGCAAAGACAGCCACCTAGTGACCAAAACAGTCAGAGTCTGGACTTGGTCTCCAATAATCCCTGAATCCACATGTGAAAATCACAGCCAAAAATTACATGATTCATCAACTGCCAAGACAGCAAACCAAACTCAAAGGCCAGCGGCCACCCAGGGAAGAACTCCAGTGGAAGCAAAAAAGAAATGGAAGACAAATGCTACATCCAAGAGAAGATAGAGGCAATGACTCAAGAATTAAAGTGAGAAAAGGATCAGAAATTTAAAGAACAAAGAAATGAATTAGCAAAAGAGATCCAGGATTTCAAACAAGAAATGCATTCAAAAATAGATGCAGTATACACATTGCTAAAAGATGAGATTAATACTCTGAGGACTGACATAGATATCATAAATGGCTCAATTTCCTCCATGCAAACCACAATGGAAGCCACAGGTAATAGAGTGAATGAAATGGAAAACAGAATATCAGATACTGAAGACAAAATGCAGGAACTGGGAAAAAAAAGTTACAGATATGGAAAAAGCACTCAAAATATGCCAAAGGAAGTCCAAGAACAAGCATGCAGTGCCAAGAAATTTAACTGTTGTATAATTGGGGTGGACAAACGTAAGGAATACCAGAATAGAGGACTACAACACTTATTCAACAAGATCATCACCAAAAATTTTCCCAGTCTTAAAAGAGAAAATCTTTCCTACATAACAGAGGCTTACAGAACACCAAACAAGCAGGATCCCAGGAGGAACATTGCTAGGCACATTACAGCAATAAAGAAACAATCTCTCATGCAGCAAAGAAGGAGCTATACTACATGGGGAAAAAATTAAAATCACTGCAGATCTCTCCACACAAAATGCAAGGAAAGCCTGGGAAAATACCATCTGAGCCCTGAGAACCAATAACTGCCAGCCCAGACTGGTATATCCAGTGAAACTAGCATTCACTTTCAACAGAGAAACTAAAATTTTTAATAGAAAAGAAAAACTAAATGAATTCATAAACAATAAGCCAGCGTTACAAAGAATGCTAAGAGGGGGATTACAATCTGAAGAAAACAATCAAGATCAGGGATCCATATCAAAAAGATATCACTAGATCAACTTAGTAAACACAGGAGGAAAGGAAAGAAGAAAAACTTAGGAAAGCAGGAAAATGACAGGAAACACAATACACCTCTCTATAATAACCATAAAATACCAATTAAAAGAAAAAGAACTGCAGACTGGATCAGAAAACAAGATACATCAATTTGTCTTCAAAAGACTTATCTTACAGCCAAAGATAAAAACAAACTCCAAGTAAAAGGCTGAAGGAAGATCTACCATGCAAATGCTCCCAACAAGAAGGTAGGAGTTGCCATCCTGATATCTGATAAAATAAACTTTAAATTAAAATCATTACAAAAAGACAAGAAAGGGCACTACATATTAATACAGGGAACAATCCAAGAAGAGGATATCACCATTGTTAATCTATACTCTCCAAACATTGGTGCACCTAAATATGTTAAGCAAATACTCTCAGGAAAAGATAGCTCCAAATACAATAATATTAGGAGACTTTAATACTCCACTCTTACCAAAGGACAGTTCTACTAACCAGAGAATTGGCAAAGACATCTCCAAATTAAGTGATGCCCTATCTCAAGCGGACTTAACTGACATATATTGTTTTCCACCCAACAACAATACACACTCTTCTCAGCAGCCCATGGAACTTTCTCCAAAATAGATCGTATCTTAGTTCATATAAGGAATTTAAGCAAATACGAGAAGGTCAACATAATCCCCTGTATTCTATGTGACCATAGTGGAATCAAACTAATTCTCAATAACAAAGCATACAACAGAAATTACTCAAACACATGGAAATTAAACAGCACACTTCTGAGCAACACCTAGGTCAAAGAAGAAATTAAATGATTTAAAATGTTTCTACAATTCAATAAAAATGAATACACATCACAAAGAAATCTGTGGGATATGGCAAAAGCAGTCCTAAGGGGCAAATTTATTGCTCTCAGTGCACATATCAAGAAAACAGAGACAGATCAAGTAAATAATCTCATGATGCAACTAAAACTGCTAGAGAAACAAGAAAATGTTAAACCTAAACTTACTAGATGGACTGAGATAACCAAAATAAAAGCTGAAATTAATGATAGAGACTAAGAAAACTTTAAAATTAATAAAACAAAAGGCTGGTTTTTTGACAAAATTAATAAAATTGATGGACCTCTGGCAAGATTAACTAAAAAAAGAAGAGAGGAGACCCAAATCAATAAGATCAGGGATGCCACAGGAAAAATTACAACAATTACCCAAGACATCCAAACAATTATAAAGAACTATTTCCAGACTCTCTACTCACTAAGAAAGAAAAACCTAGCAGAAATGGATGAATATCTAGAGAAATACAAATTGCCCAAACTGAACCAAAAAGAAATAAGTCAATTAATAAGCCAACAACTCACAATGAGATAGAGGAAGCAATCAGAAGTCTTCCAACAAGGAAAAGCCCAGGACTTGATGGATTCACTACAGAATTCTATAAGACCTTTAAAGAGGAACTAATACCCATACTCCTTAAGCTCTTCCAAGAAATAGAAACAGAGGGAGCAATCCCAAGCTCATTCTATAAAGCTAATAGCATATTCATACCCAAACCAGGCAAAGACCCAATAAAAAAAGAGAACCACAGACCAATCTCTTTGATCAACACAGAAGCGAAGCTCCTCAATAAAATTTTAGCCAATAGGGCTGGGAAGGTGGCTTAGTGGTAGAGTGCTTGCCATACATGCATGAGGCCCTGGGTTTGATTCCTCAGCACCACATATGCAGAAAAAAACGGAAGTGGTGCTGTGGCTCAAGTGGGAGAGTGCTAGCCTTGAGATGATGAGCTGAGGGACAGCGCCCAGGCTCAGAGTTCAGGCCCCACAACTGACCGGAAAAAAAAAAAAAAAGCTCTGGAGAAAGCAGGAATAGAAGGAACATTCCTTAACACAATAAAAGCCTTATACAACAGACCAATAGCTAATATTATATTTAATGGGGAAAACTGCAACCAATTCCCTTAAAAACAGGAACAAGGCAAGGATGCCTACTCTTTCTACTCCTCTTCAATATAGTTCTGGAAGCCTTAGCCAGAGC